AACGTTTTTATGGGCCTAGACTGAAAGGCTTCGAAATAAAAGTATAAAAGTCGCTAATCTCCAGGCCTTAGGTCCAAGTCATGGCACGTCCTATCAAGTGGATTTGGGAAAATGTGAGTCTAATTTGCTTATCGTCAATACGACTTGTCCTTATGGATCTGTCAAGCTCGACGAACCATAACAACAGGATCCTTCCTCGCCCCCTCTATGCTTGGAGATTGTAACCTTCAAGATTTCGGGACGACGCGTGCGTGTCGTCCCACCCTCAGCCACATTTTATTTGCTGCTACCATAACAGATCTGTCAGTTGAGAACCGAGTACTCTCAACTACTCGGCCTGTTGAGAGCCTTGCTGTTGAAGCAGGACTACTTTCTCTCTTTAGGCGACAAGTTCATTCTGAATGAACTAGTCTTTAGCGACAAGTTTTGGATCTCTGTTAAGAGACTCGAACATGGCGCTATTGACGATTTTACCCACCATAAAACTCATACATCCTACCTCAATCCATTTGATGTCACTCATATGGGCATAGATTTCACGCGTGGCGTGAAACCTTCCCTCTTAATTTACATGTTCATGCTTAATGGGCTGGTTGTGGTCGTTAGACGGACTCCAAAGTGATACTAGGTGTAATGGGGCACGCTCTTACCATATAAATAGTAAGACTTCGGTTTTTTAGAACACAAATATGCGTACTTTCGATGTCACGTACACGCATCGTGAGGAAGAGCGAGGAAATTAAAAGTGCTAGGAAACTTCCTTCGAAAGAAAAAGTAGGTCTGTATTTGATCTTGTTGAGTTTTCTAATAAATTATCTTTATCCTAATCTAACCTAATTAATCTACAATCTTCGATGTGGGTTTTTTTCTCACCACCCATTACGCACGTCCAGCATCGATTCTTGATTAATTTGGTTGATGTAGTGTCTCATTAAGTAGAGCACCCAATAATCACCCCCGTAGGTATATTCTGTCAACATTAATCTCCATTCAAGTGATGCTAATTAGATATAATCAAAATAAATACTTTTTAAAAATGGATACAATCGTATCAGAATTATGCAACGAGCTCACTTCGTTACATACCGTCGATAATTCTCCAGTGATAAACGAACTGATCATCGCCCAATGTGCTGGATGAATATGCTCTTGCGTTGCAAATACAGATCGATTTGTAGCTATGCAATTGTCCACGTGGCGGGCCAACAATTTTAATGCATCAATTAGGTCGCTATTGGAAATGTTGCTGTAATTCAGCTTGCACTTGTGGAATGCCGAAGAAGTCGAATTTGACGAGAGACAAAGCACGTTTAGTTACATTGGCCAGCACCACCAGGAGTTCCAGACGGATTCTTACAGGTCCATCAGCAGCACCGACAGAAACACTATCATTCATATGTCACAGCACCATCAGCAGCACCGACATAAGCACTATCAGTCAAATATATAGTATAGTATATAATCCAGTAGAAGAAATTCGTTGGATTAAATGAAATTGATAACCAATGACAAGCCATCAATCGTAAAAGAATGAGTCAGATACGCGGAGGGTCGTACTTTGACGAATGAGCTTAAATCGCATCTGCATACTATGGACGACGGTATAGTAGTGCAGGCAAAAAAAAACAAGGAAAGACATGATTCTGGACAGCTGATTGAAAAGTTTATGTAATATTGCAAGTGGTCACACAGATGCTTGCGAAAACGAATAGCGAAAGGCAAAGCTGATAAGACGCACAATCTTGATAAATTGTACCATTTATTACATGATGAAGTTGTAACTCGTTGTACTAGTGCTTGTGTTAATCTAGATCCGTCCATGTAGTAGCCGGGAATGAAGATTTACGACTGCGATGTCGTAAAAACGATAATATTGTTATGGGAGACCTCCGCTTGAAATGACACGGTTCAAGATAGCTGAGCTGAACACAACGGATGCATGTATTCCCAATTGTATTCGAGGTGTCACGAAAGATTTAACCGTGGCGTTGGGACGCAGGATGGTATCCCACGAATGAATGACAGATAATGACTGTTGAAGTTATTCGTATCGATATACCCAACGGTCATGAAGGAGTATAGTCGAGGATCGTTAATTGGCCGATCGCGACCCGCGATCAAGGGCTTGGATCACCAAATTACAAGATCTTGGATCGCCAGACTACAAGGACCGGATCGCTCAACTGGTGAGCATCAACCGAGGTACTGGATCTCTAGCGGCAAATGACAGATATGTAAATATGGAATCAAGATGGAGGAGTGGATAGCCAAAATAATGCAGTATGCAAGTGTTTTGGACGTGACGGCGATCCGGCTTTAAAAGCTCGATTGGAGATACGAACGATCGACCACAATCTATCCGGAGTGTGTCCTGCTGATCGAGGTGGATTACGTATTCGGCGTCGATCACATACCGCGATCTGCCACCCCGCGACCCACTGACTCGCGATCCACTACACCGCAATCCACTACCCCGCGATCCACTGGATACGTCATTGGTGTGGACATAGAATTGGCAAGGATCACCTTATTGGTGTGGATCAAGTAATTAATGTGGATCACATACTACGATCCGGTACTCTGCGATCCGGTATGGGGCGATTCACTATGGATTATCTGCTGTGGACCACATGATGCAAGAGGTGAATGACATCGACAGGCGACACGCAACAGCAGACCTAGCAAACAGATAGGCATAAATTTAAGTTTTGGACTTGGTTGGTTGACAATAAAGAGGATTGAATACGCAACAAAAGACACGCGTCGACTTCCAACGGAAAGAATCTTTGGTTTTCGTTAAATAGAGAATCACCCATGTCTCAGCAAACTTTGCCCTTGAATTGTGTGGCCACGCGAAAAGTCAAACTCACCCCCCCCCCTCAACTGCAAAAAAAACGCACTGAACCCTACGGTTTAGATTTAAGATCGCGAGACGGCGAAATTGGTCAGAAGACTCACGTATCAAGCATCACCCTGGAACAGGCGACTCTATGAGAACGCCCAAGTTACAAGCGATCGAGTAATAAATTTTTAGCGATCCGCACCTACGTTTGACCGGGTGAAGCACTTCCTCCCGATCAACCTTTATCCATAAACGGTCTAGTTCAGCTTCAGCTCAAGTCCACCAAGAAGAGCACAACCCGCCCCACCGGCAAGTACACAAGGTGAGCAAGAACATACAGACCACGGAATCGGGGTGCCTTCTCCGTCATTCGGTCGTCCGGGCGCCAGTAGAAAGTCGGGATCGTCTCGGGAAAAAGAACGATCACTACTCCACCACACAAACATCACGCACTCGGCGCGTGCAGAGAAAAAGAAATATATAACTTACCCCACGATAAATTTTTGAGAGTTGGTAAAATTTGAATTAAATTGATTGGGTCAATCTTTGACAAGAACCATTTTTTACTTGAACTAAAGATAAATGTTAAAATAAAAATATGGGCACTCGCTTTTAAACCATCGCGCTTGAATAGCAAATATTAGTCTTCTTTGTAGACACAATGGCTCCTATTAACTTATTAGTGGACCGGTTGTAAATTTACCCTCGAAGGTAAGGCACTTTGATATGTACCTAATAGGCTACATAAGATAGGGTGGTACAAGTTAGAACAAATAAATAGATACACATAATGCGTTTGTCGATTGTATTTAACAATATCACCCCTCAACAAGTAGCGCCAAAAATTGCATATCATAATATTTGTCTCGCATCTATTGTGTTAAAGCTTCAAACATTTATCGAAAACGCAATATCTATCGAAATAATATGTATCAGTACAGTTAACACTTGAGTAAATATACAATCAAAGAACTTTTATATGTTAATTTATTCTGAGGCACCACACATCAATAGATCGCACACTAGTCATATATATTACTAATATTGACCAAGACCTTATATATAGCTTTCGCATTTTCTTTATTTTTCTTCTCAACATGAAAGCCATTAAGTACCATTTTTCAAGTCCTTTAAATTACCAACATTGCTGCCATGGCGATGAACGCAGTTCTGCTACAAAGATTTTTTATTTTTGAGATTTGTAGGCGTAAACGCAACCTGTGATATGTACTTCCCCCTGTGAAATAGAGCTCTCTCCTTTAGTACCATAACCTTTATAACTAGGTACTGCGCAATTATAAATACATAATGCCATTTTTTTGCCTTGTACACTCCCTTTGTAATATAGGCCTCTTTTTTGTCAGCACACAGCCTGACGTATGAAATCCGCTCTCATTATCTGGTACATGCCCTAAAAGTACCTCAAACACTACTATTTCTCTAATTTATAAATAATTTTTTAAACGTTAAGTATCAAGCATACTTCTCACGAATACTGCAAAATGAACTGTCAATAGGAGATATATTGTTACAATTTTACTTTGTAAGGTGAACCCACCGGCCAGATGCGACATCGATAGCGGCTTAAATGTACCCTTTTTGTCAATCTAATTAGGATTCGCGTGCTGCACCATGGCGTTTCTGTTGGTTGTCTCAATCTGCGACATTCGCATGAGTCAGGCCTGATAAATTGTGAAAATGCTAAGAATAGGGTCGAATATTCATTAACTAAGTTTTGTTTTGGTCCATAAACTAAGATTTTAACAATCACTGTAAAAAAAGCAAAATTGTGATATGCGCAGCCAAAGTGCTCCAATGGCGCGCAAGACGACGCCGTTCAAAGAAAAGCATGCGCTCGAGTTCGGAATCGAGCTTATTTAGAAAGGAAGCGGCGGCACACAAACTTTTCGATGCCTGTTCTGCATATATGACAGGCGTGACAAAGTTATGATTGGATGCTCAATTGGTTACAAGCTTAAGTCGCGCGTTGACATCAAGAAACTACACAAAACCGCTCGCACCGCAGAACTATCGGAGTTACAATACGACGCAGCATGGAAACGACTGGGCAGAGTACAGAGATCTGTTACCCGCGGAGAAGCGCAAATAAATCCAACGGTAAGACGAAGTCGTGAACGCGATTCATCATAACCTCGACATGGAAGGATATACGGACTTTAAAGTTTCGCCGTCACTCGTCGAGACCATGATTGGCGACATGTTCTTCAGAAACGAAGAAATGCTGGACAATGCCGAAGACGACGATGAAGACGAACTTGTAGCGAATGACGCAGCAGAGGGAATAGCCACGAAAATCGCCAAGAAGTCCAGCGACAAGACGCATGCGATGAAGTTATTCGTCAAGATCTCGGAGACAGGATTACTTCATCATTGTCAAGAATTTGATGCGTTACGAAGTCGCATTGGACCATGTGGGAAGCGGCATGTCAATCAGGCAGGCAAACATGGCAATCAAACTAGCCAAGCAACGTACGCAAATGCCAAATCTCGCAGGCATTAACAATTTAATGACCGGTCAGTTCATTCGCGTCCTTTTCGCGTCAATTTGCAACGGATTGCGGAATTAATGGGTGACGCGTTTGTCTGGGCTTTTTCAAACGCGTGTGATGGCAGTACGCATCACGGCCAGTCGTTCGTTGACATGCGTTTGCGATTCTGCTACGGCGGCGTCCTGGTCAGCTTGTACCTCCTCGCCATCCCAATGTTCCACAGGCATACATCGCAGATCATATTTGATACGATCTGCAAGTTTATGGGCGTGATGTACGAATCGTAGCGTAGAAAATTCTTTACGTCGCTTCGGAAGGCGATAACGCAATAACTGGACGCCATGCCACCTTGATCACTTAATTGTGCGCTACAGCTGAGTATCCTGTCCTTAGCATTGGGTACGCGCCTCATCATATTACCCTAAAAGTCAATTGCTCGTGCCCAAATGTGTTCCAAGGCGAATGGTTCGCCAAAGCGCACGCGTTCAGCATCTTCCTGTATGCTCAGAACAGATTCATCACCAAGGTGAATGTTAACATGTCAAATCTGACTACTCGCCAGGTTCAGATTGGCATCGTGTTGGTATTTTTATTGCGCACCGGCGAATACTGGTCAACTGCACGGCTTATCATCAGAAGTTCGTCCCACCGTCGCTGTTCTGGTGCAGCATGACGTACCCTGCGTCTCCTGACATTACAGTGTCAGCAAGACAATGGTAGTACTGCAGAAGAAGGCGCTCTTGATAGCGCAGCAGGACGAAAGCATTGTCAATTTAGTTGGATAGCTTGTCGCAATGTTCAGCATTAACGCCGCCGATGGGTCAATCGACGGCTATTTATTGACGGTAACTTGAGTATCGCCTATGCGAACATTGTCGCTCACATCGAGGACCAGGGGTCGTGGTCGACACAGATATTGCCAGCGCTGAGCGACGACGTGAAGCTAGACGTCGTGCGCGAGGTCGATACCCACGCGAAAAAACTATTGGTTGCCCAGCAGAGCGTGCGAGAAAAGCGCGAAACCAAAAATCTGCCTTGCGAGAAAGATGCACCGCCTGCCTTGTCTGCGAAGCTTGTCAAGAAGTCGCCGTGAATGTTCGTCAAAGACGTTCTGGCGCCGCACTAATATCAGCTTGCGAAAACATGGACTGATGAGTGGATTGACGATCTCGAGTTGGACCCCATGCTGCTACGCATAACGTACGACAAAGAAAGAGTTGCACGCCGTCATCGACAAGCACATCGTGAAACCTTTTTTTGGTGAGAAATGGGCCGTCTCGCGGGGCGGTCGATTCGATTATTCGCACGCGTTATGCAGCGGTCTAGCGACTTCGTATGCAAACTGGTCGTCAATTGAATCCAATTTTACCATTTTCAAGTGGGAAATGAATCGAACCGCACATTCTAATGCACCTCTCGCTAAATGGAATCTTCTAGACAAAGCAGTGGGTCGTGCTCGACATGCTGAAATAGCACGTGGGTCATACAAAAAACCACGTTTTGGATATCCATAATTTAGTGAGAATACCTTCTATAAACTATCTTTGTTTATTTCGATTATGGAAAATAACGTTTAATTGGTCTGCCATGAGCTGTACCAGGTCATTTACATCCCGATCCGTCAGATTTTCAGTGGAATTTGAGTAGATCGTACTAATAGCGTTCAATTTTGATATTAAGGTCACTGCGTGATGATCTTCTCGTCCCAATCGCGCACAAAAATCATGTGGGAGTCTATTGTCAGGCAGAAAAGCTAATTCATGATGAACCTATTGGTTTCAAACCGCGCAGGAGTGAGCTCTAACACACCGCATCCGATCGAACACAAGCCGATCAGTAGCAAGTGAGTCAACAGCTGTAGCGGAGCTACACAGATCCTTCAGTCAGAGGAAAAATATGACGCTCAACGAGTAACTTTATTTCTACGAACACGACTCAAGGAGTCAACAGCTCAGAGAGCTATGGTTTTGTTCTACGAAATCGACTTGAAGAGTAAACAAGCTCAGATAGCTTACGGTCCCTATTCCAGGGGTATTAAAAGATTCATAGAATAGACGCACAAATTGCACAAGGAGTAGCTGCCTATTAAGGCGTCAATTTCTCCTCAACAATCACAAGAAGTCTCAAAGAGGCACGTGTCTTTTGGATCAAAATGGGAATTGAACTTTATGTCCTTCTATTTAACCTGAAAGAATACCTTAAAACAACGTACTTAACCTAGTCGCTAATGTCCTGAATAAAACCTCTCAAAAGATCTCGTAATCAATGGTTGACAGACATCAGTCTTCAACAATTGATACTATGTTCTAATATCACTCTAACGGGGATCTCATCCCTCGTATGCCCCACACCTATTGTCGACTATCAGTTGACATGTAACCCCGTTACACCCCCTCTCTCCAGACTGACGTTACCACAAAATGTCCATCGAGGCCTTCATCGAAAAAACGGTGCGTGTGCGCTTTAACCTCGCGGATTGGCAAAACACGAAATACCATGGCATCGCCACCTCATGAGTCCCCGACTATCTCTTTCTACTTCAGCATTGATGTGGGGGTAGACTATGGTAGTGATACCGATGCCCATGGTGAAGTGAGGACAATTTCCGACTCACCAGTGCAAGAGGAAACGCCTCGTACTGCACCTTACCCATTTGCCGAGCGTGGTGAAGCCATCGCGCTAATGGCGAAGCATCATGCAACCGATTCTGGTGAAAATATCATCATTAACCCGCTTGATCAGCAACAGGAGTTCATCCTACAGCGAGAGGAGCATGCTCTTCGTCGTGCCCAAACATAGATGGTCGTTCGAAACCAGAGTAATTACGTGCTATCAACACCGGACGTGGAGCAACGTCTCCGTCAAACGGAAGTCCTTAGCCTTTCAACATGGGCCCTAGCCCCAGAGGCTACGTCTCCAGAATCCACCGCCTTCCGCCAGGTTCTGCATGAGAGATATCTCAAACCATTCTGTAGCCACACAAGGTCTATACAAGACGCACTTTGAGAGCCTTGATCGTGGTATTTCGGTTAGACCGATCAAGGGCGTGCCCATATTGTTGTTCGCCGGTGAGTTGTCTGGAGAGGAGGACAACCAATCATCCGCTGGGTGTACCGCAAGCAGCATCTTAGAAGTGTGCCCGCGCTGCGAGCCAGCGCCGATGTGGCTGACGTTCGCCTGGAACGAAAGCTCCGGTTATAATACGCCTGGCTCAAGACCAGAGGCCATGTGCGTATACGTTCGCGTTATGCTCCGTCTACGCCGGTAGCCACGAGTTCCGACCCAATGGTGCGGAGCAACCCGCTACCTCCCACCAACAGTGTCGAGAATCGCGCTCGGACGAGAGATGGCCCCTGCCACAATATTCGAAAACATCCTTGGCGTATGGGTAATCCTGCCGAAGGGGTCTTTCATACTCCTACGATTTCTCGGACTCCGGGTACCGTATCCACTTCACCTGATACTGGTATTGGCCATGACGACGACGTCGTTTCGGGGTCGCGCCACATGGAACCGGCGGCTCCCTTGCTCATCTAGAAGCGTCGGTGGTGGTCGGTGTACCGACAGAGGAGCATTAGAAGGTGCATCTCGAGCTGAGTGGTCTTCGTGAGACAATGGGCAAGACCCAGAGTGCGCTCGACGCGATGCAAGACCGTGGTCAGGCGTTGGAGTTGTGCCAAGCCCGCGTTTAAGCATTGGAGTTGGCCTTACCCCGTGTGGATGGTCAGCTTGACATCCTGATTCGGCTTTCAGCAACCGGTGGAAAGGCCAACTTACTCGGCGCAAGCGCCTCCAATTTCACGTGGGATGGATACCGATACGGCTTAAGTAAGCCAACGTAGAACACTGGGTGCGTGCGCAATTTGCGCGGAAGGTTGAGCGTATACGCAAGTCCCTTCTTATCAACGACCGTCAATGGAACGATGAAGCGCGGACGCAACTTTGTATTGTTGACGGCATACACTACATTTGTAGGTAAGTTTTTAGCATTGAGTAGAGCTTGATCTTCGACCTTCAAATGTTCAATACAATCTCTAAATTTAGAATCAGCTTGTTCCTTCTGATTGTCTTGGCTATCAGCCAGTGCTTCACGCACATTTCGTAAGACATTCAATCGCGTTGGAAGAAACTCGCTTATCTATTTTTGAACAGTAGAAGGGCTGATATCAGCAAGCCGATCGGCAACTCCCCCCACCAAGCCCTGAACCACGTAGTCGTAGCGTTAACGGAACGCGAAGATGTGTGAGACCGTTCACAAAGAACGGAATGGAGCTTGTCGAGGCATGAACAGCGTTATTCAACGCAAACTCAACGATCAGGAGCATCGAGATCCATCTTTTGGTGTATTAGCGCAACGCTGCGTAATATGTCAATAATGACTCGATTATTTCGCTCGGTTTGACCATCGGTCCACGTATAATCCGCTGTGGACATGTTCAATCGTGTGACAAGAAGCTAGAATACGGACTTCCCAAACTTCACACTGAACCGGGGTCCGATCAGATACATTTGCCACAGTCTAGCTGTGTTGTCGAAACACGCGATCGATAAACAGCGTTGCTGTACCCTCACCATCAACGGTATCTGGCGCAGCCGCTAAATAAGCCATCTTGCTCAAACGGTCAATAAAGACTACAATACCCGTACTGCCTTGTGCATCTTTCGGCAAAGCGAACATGAAGTCCATGCTGATGGACTTCCAACATCCAGAGGGTTTAGGTAGACCAGCTAGCGGCGCAGCCGCATAGGCTGAAGGTTTCACCTGTTTACACGTTTCGCACGTACGCACGTATGTGCTTACCCACTTGTAAAGTTTGGGCCACCAATCGCATTGGCTAACTAAGCCATTGGTCTTCTCAAGACCGAGATGACCACTCAACGCAGTATCATGTGCCTCATAGAGAATCTGATATTTCAACTCCTCATCATCAGGGACAACGATGCGAGGAGTATCCTCCACATCCGTGCTTTAGCACAACCGACCTTGGTTGATGGAATATCGGTGTAGCCTCACACGCAAACGTGTCGACAATTTAATGTCTCAGTAGTTTACCCACTCACTCCCTAGATCACGTAGCAGCGCTACACAGTGTTCATCTTTGGCATATGTCGAACGAATGAGGTCAGTGACCGATGATGACAGAGTCGTTACATGAGCAAGCTCATAGTCAGGCCTACGTGACAACGCATCAGCCAAAGCATTCTGCTTGCCCGGCTTGTACTTCACCTCGAAGTTGTATTCAGCAAAGAATGAGAGCCAGCGAGCCATTCTCTGAGAGAGGTGTGGCGGTTGGGTTGCAGTGCGTAATGAAGCATGATCTGTGTGGGCCACAAAATGCTTGGAGCCAAGCAGATGAACTCTGAATTTGGCTAAAGCGTACTTCATTGCAAGTAGATCTTTATCATGAACTGGATAGTTTTTAAGCTTCTTCAGCTGTCCAGACTCAAACGCAATGACGCGTTCCCTTCCATCGTCATCGGTTTGTAACAGAGCACTACCATAAGCAAAGTCAGATGCGTCACAGACGACACTGAAAGACCGGTCAGGATCAGGCAAAGCCGAGGTTGGCTCATGATAAACACTCTCTTCAACTGTTTTAAAAGTATCGTGCTTAAGGCTAACTCAGCACCACGGCACATCCTTTTAAGGAGATTTGATAATGACCGAGCCATTTATGCGTAGTTCGCACTATACTTGTGTAAGTAATTGGCAAGACCAAGCCACTTACGTAAGTCCTTTTGTTTCTTTGGAACATGCCGATCAACTATGAATTTTACCTAATGGGATCCGCTCGAAGACCTCGCTTCTCAATAAAGCACCCAAAAAATTCCTCTTCTGCACAAAAAATACACTCAGACGCGTTGACATAAAACTTATTTGTGCGCATGCACTCGAGAACCGCTCGTAAATGGTCGATTGGATAATCCACATCTGACCAAACGATCATAGCACGACTTTGGACAAAAATGTCATCAAATTATATTTGTACATACCCTCGATGAGGTCTGAACAGCTGCGTCACAAGACGATTAAACGTATCTGGGGCATTTGATAACCCCTGTGGCATCACAAGCAACTCCCATAGATTTATG